CGGACGCGGTGGTTGGCAGCGGACAGTCTGTTATATGTGGTGATCCGAAGTCGAGAACCTGAACAGAGGAGGCGGCGGCCGGACTTGCAGACGCGATTTGATGATGGTTTGCCGGAAAAATCCAGGTCTGAACGGGTGGACGACTATGCTGGAAAAGGAGCAGCAGGGTTCCCCGGGAGAGCAGCAGCAGACATTTGACGGCCTTGCTCGGTTGTACCAGAAAGGGTCACGCTCGTGGTGGTCGGGAGAAATTGGTGATGGCGTGACTGAAACTGGAAGAGTTGTACGTGCGTTGGCTCAGCGGTGTCAAAATTGACTTCTTTATCTGCAGAAGAGATGGAACAACTGGTAAAAACGAGGTTTGAGGAAATGGTCCATTGTTGTAATAATATTTAGAACGAACATGTGATGTTATGCGTAAGGTGAACTGAAGGTGAACTGAAGAATAAATAACTTACAGCAGCAAGCCTTTCTCTGTGAATCTCGCTTACTGTCTGGAAAACACACAAGAAACAAGTGAGCAAAATGATGATAAGTTTTGCACTCTTGAAGTAAAAGAAGACAGGAAACACTTACTGGTTTTTGTACAGCTTAATCTCATCTCCCCCAAACCCAGGAAGAGTAATGTTCCAATTTCTTTCTGAATCCAAGGACAAAAAAAAAAGTGTAAGAGTTATATATTTGCATGACTGACAAAAGAAACTCATAGAAACTAACCAAGATGTAGCATGATGTCCTTTGCTTCCAAACTGGTTGATTTTCTATGCTTGGCCAACGAACATCCAAATGTTGTTATCTGGTGAGGTATAATTAAAAGCATAATGCGACGGGTGAACAAGAATATGCTTGAGACACACCAAAAAGATTACCAGCCAAATGACTTGACATTGCAACAAATCCATGTTATTAATGCACAGAATTGAACAGAGAAAACACAATATATAGTAGTACAATTTCCATTCAAATTTGTTGTGTAATATATGGAACATATTTACAAAGCATTCAAATGCTTTACAAATGTAATAGAGGACAAGAAAACGGAAAGAGGAAAAAAAATATGTTCCTCAACCAAAGTAGCCGTCTTACAAAAGGATAAACCCTTTTAGTTTTTACTTCCAACAAACATTAAAATAAATATATGGTATACATGCTTATGCAGAAAGATTAACATTCATATATCAAGAATCAACAATGGTGTATCAGTTGGTTTGGAAGTTTTGTGTAAAGATATGCATGGTACAGACAACTTTTTTTGGTAACATATTTAAAGTTCAACCCATTTATATATGCTACACAATAACTTAAAACATGAAGGAACTTGTATTGTAGTCCGCACATCTTTAATACACAATAAAATTTTCTGATAACTTACTGATTCCACAAAATCTTCAGCAAAGTCGACAAGAATATCTTCAACCTCAGGATCTAACTTTTCAAATGGATCGATCTGATAAAATGAAGGAGAGTCAAACACATAAATCACGAAATTTTCTTACACAATAGCTAGGTCAATAAAACAATCATAGCTCACAAAAAACCAATGCCCAATCACATCCCTTTAACGAATTCAATTTTCCACCTAGAGGACCAATTAATTAAAAATGCATTTTAAATTAATCAAAAGCCTAACACAAATGTCTGTCAAATTTCAGCCACTTCCACCGGAAATAAACAAACTACTTTGGACAAGCAACCTTAGGAAATCTAGTCTAGTGTGGTCTAGCTTCTTTAATAGAAAACAGACGTAACTAACTAGAATATTCTATAGAAATTGACAAAAAATCAAAACCTGATTCACAATTTCCTGAATGCTTCTCTTGCTCACGATTCTATTCGAAGACTCGTCTGTGTCGACACTCATTGTTTTGCTAGGG